TCGTACATGAAGCTTAAATCGCCACACACCAATAGAGTGTTTTGACCGCTGACCATACAAGCACCCACGGCCGTTGATGTGCTGCCATCAATACCGCTTACTCCTCGATTCGCATAATGCACAATGGATTTGGGCCATTGCATCAATTGGGCATATCGTACAATAGAACTATTGCCCCATTGAATCTGCCAGTCGGCGGGAATCGATTGACTCAAGGCATAAATGGCTTGCCAATCCGAGAATTCGGTTTGGAAACTCCGGTGTTTTTTAATTTTCAGGGTTTGAATGTTGACCCATCGGGACTGATATTCTCCATGAGTAATGGGCATTTGATGGATCCAAATGTCCATGATATCCTCTAATGCGTACGCCCAATGGTGGGTAATCAGACCATAGGTTTCTGGGGCCCAATGTCGATCGATGTGCCAAATGTGGTGGGGTTGAGCGGCCCTTAAAAAGCTTTTAATGCGTTTGGATATCACATTTTGTCCAACAGTCATTACCAAATCGGGATAAAATAGGGGCAAGTCTAAGGGGTCCATATTGGTGATGCATTGGTCAATTCCATGAATCAAAAGAGGATGATGTCCATTGGAGGTGGTTTCGCTTAAAACCACCGTACGGCCATCTTGTAGCCAATAATCGATCAAGGCGTCTAGAGTAGGGGAGGGAGGGTGCATTCCCAATAATATGAGGCGTTTGGGACTATTTTGCCAAATGCGTTTTAATGCATCATCCATCGGGTCATTGTTGACCAATGTTGAATGGGTTTCCCAAGTCCATGTTTGGCTTATGGCTTGTTGATACAAGGGTTCGGTGAAGGGCATGTTAATGTGCACCGGCCCTTGATGTTGATAAAGGTGGGTTAAACAATCCATCAATTGGTCTTGTGAATCGGCATCCAAATTTTCGTTTAACACGGTTTGATTGTGTACATGATTTGAAAACAAACCATTTTGACGAATGGTCTGGCCTTCAAACTGATCCACTAAGTCGGCGGGTCGGTCTGCTGTAATCACCACCAATGGAATGTTTTGATAAAAAGCTTCCACCACGGCTGGGTAATAATTCACCGCTGCCGAACCACTGGTGCAACATATAGCCACGGGTTGTTTAAGTTGTTGGGCCATACCCAAGGCCACAAACCCGGCCGATCGTTCATCCACAATGCTGTGCACCGTAAAAAAGTCATCCAAATGAAACGCCAAATTTAAGGGAGCGTTTCTAGATCCTGGAGATATAACAATGGTTCGAATTCCAAAATGTTTGAAAGCCGAAACCAACATTTGAACACTGAGTTTGTTGCTGGTCATAAAGTTTAAGTCAGCATGCCGCCATCCACTTGCAATACCTGTCCTGTAATATAACTGGACATATCGCTGCTCAAAAACACACAGGCATTGGCCACATCCAAAGGTTGCCCCCCCCGCTTTAAAGGAATGGCCGACGCCCAACCTTCGACAACTTTTTGATCCAAGGCGGCGGTCATTTCGGTTTCTATAAATCCAGGGGCAATGGCATTGCAACGGATATTGCGCGACCCCAATTCGATGGCCACCGATTTGGTAAACCCAATAATGCCCGCCTTGGAAGCGGCATAGTTGGCCTGTCCAGCATTGCCTTTGATGCCCACCACCGAACTCATATTAATAATAGAGCCCGAGCGTTGTTTTAGCATGGGTTTCATGGCCGCTTTCGTCAAATTATAAACGGCACTTAAATTCACATCGATGACCTGTTTCCAATCGTCTACGCTCATGCGCATAAGCAAATTGTCTTTGGTAATTCCCGCGTTGTTAATTACAATATCAATCTGCCCAAATTTAGCCACCGTTAAGTCTATTAAAGCTTGAGCGGCCTCAAAATCTTCGGCACTCGATTGCACGGCTATGGCCACCCCTGTTTGGTTAAGTTCGGCTTCCAAAGCATCGGCTTTATCTTTGGAGGCGACATAAGTAAACACCACATTGGCTCCATGTTTGATGAATTCTTGGGCAATGCTTTTGCCAATGCCTCGGGTGGCTCCTGTTATAATGGCGGTTTTTCCTTCGAGTAGTTTCATGTCCAAATATTTTAGACGGTAAAGATACAAAGCTTGCCATTTATTTTTTGAATAATTTGTGGTTTATCCATATAATGCTGTATATTTGCATTCATATATCGCGGG